GAGGCAAAGAGATACCCCTGAACTATTTTCAATTAGGCAACAAAGACATATTCTGATTTGGGCACAATGCCATGTCCTTGGAACAGTCTATTTGGGAAAGGAAGAATTTATGCACAACCATCAAGAAATTATGAACATGGTATGACAAAAGAAAGCATACTATAAGGGCAAGCTGGCAAAACTGATGGTAAGAAAGTAGGGAATTTAGGGGTACTAGAAAATAACACATAGGCTAAGAACTAATAAAGAAAATAGCAGATTACCACAAAGGTTCAAAGATATGAAAAATAGTGGGGTTGGGAAAAGGAGTAAGAACAAAGACAGATGAGGCTATTGAGACAGCATTTGGAATTCATCCCAAGGATGGTTGGCCTTTTGGTTTTAAGCAGAGAAATGCTACTGATCAGATCTGCACTGCAGAATGATCATTCTAGACAGAAGATGTAGAAGACTAGGAGTAAGGCCAGTTAAGAAAGGTTTTGTGCTGTACCTCAGGCAAAGAAGAAGCCAGAGCTAAGGAAACAGTGCTGGGATTCTGAAAAGTAAATGTATTCAAAAGCTATTAAAGAATTAGGAAGCCCGAATTAATGCAACTTGTTAGTCACTGGGAAGAGTGAATAAAGTAAGCACGAAAGGACCAGACTTAAATATTTAGAAGATCCTGCCATTTATGTGTAGGCAGTAGATTATTCAGAACCCATCACAGGTAGGTGGAATAATAAGTGGCAGTAAGCTATTGGTGATGCATTTCAAGAACTTAAAGACTATTATCCTTTGATTCAGTAACTGCACTTCTACAAATGTACCCTAAGGAAAACTCTAAAAAATCTCAGCCCAAAAATGTTTACTATTAACTGTAGCTTTCTTTTTTGGAGATAAGAGTCTCTACTGTAGTCCACACTGGCCTCAAATTCACTTTCTTCCTGCCTCAGCCTCCCAAATACTGAGATTACGTAAGTGTGCTGTCTTACCTGTTTATAATTAAACAGAAAATTAAAATAAGCCAAATAAGAGAATAATCAATAAAAATACTATAGTATATCCATTTCATGAATAAATATTTAGCCAATAAATTAAGACTTATGAAACACTTCAGTGATATAGAGAAAAGTACCACTCTTATATATTAGTCTTGAGAATATGAATTCCTATAATGCTTTAATAACAATGTGAAATGGCTGTCAAAATTTAAAATACACACTCTTTGAAACTGGCATTCTATTTCTCGGACACTACACTGTAGACACAAAAGTACTGCAATGCACAGCTGTAAGTTTAAGAATATTTATTATCACAAATATTATAAACATGATAAAAATAACATGAATGCCCATCAACAAAATAATGGTTGCAGAAACCATGGTGTAATGTTATATAGCAATCACACAGAATGTGGCAGATACTATTTATGACCTGGTTTATATGGATATTATGGTAAAATGAGAAAAGGACATCACAAATGTATAGATAATATTAAACCACTTTTGTAAATAAACATGTGCCTAGACTTTACATATATGTACACATCCACACATGATTATATCTTAATGGAAGAAGATAAGGACATATACCTATTAGAGTAGTAACCTCATTATTATGTAGAGAATAGGAAGGCAAAAAAAAAACTAGCAAATTAAAAAAATGTATATAACAATAATACATAAAACAAAATGCAGTGATATAATAGAAATGTATAAAACTTTATTAGATGACAATGAAATAAATTGACAATTGAATCCAAGGATAGGTTTGTGCAAAGTCTGTCATCTAAATTCTTCTATCACTTTAATTTCTATATATGCAAAAAAAGAACAAAAAATATTATGGGGAAAAAAAGGACACCAATTATGTGTCATAGCATGAAATTATACAAACTAAGCAAAATCATGTATGAAAAACTTTAAATTATATTAAAACTCTACTAGTGCATCTTTACATGAAAAATTATACTGACCTTTTCTAAACTTGTATTTCCTAAATTTTCCACATAATATTTTAATATTAAAAGAGACTTTTATCTGGAACTGGAATATCAGTTAACACTATACTTGATATGTCAAATCATGAAAACTTAATGGTCTGAGAGGCTTAAAAATAGCAACATCAACTCAGTCACTCTGGAATTAAAGAGACTACAACAAGTTTATTTTTATATTCTAATATGTAACTATGGGAAATGGATTTTTTTTTTTATCAAAATGGAGTCCTTTAGTCTAGAAAAGATGTTCGGATTTTTCTTAATAAAAATCATCCAAGTTTTTTGAGTAGCATCCCAATGTAAGAAAGGCAATTATGTCAAGGCCAGAACTGGAAAAAATCAAGCTTTAAGTGAATATGAATCTACTAAATAGCCCAACCCCACTATAACCACCAAACATTTACTTTGAGTTTAGTACATGCTAGCCACATCTATCACTAATCTTCATTAACATTCTTAGTTAGGTAGGTACAGATGTCATCCCCAGTTAAAGGTAGGAAAGCTGAGGTTCAGGAAGGTTAAATTCCCAGTGTCATATGCAGTTGGTAGAAGCTAGGATTTGATCTAAAGGCTAACTTCAGGACCCATGCTCTTAGCCACCATGCTCCAAAGCTAGGCTAACCATGTAATTTATTATTCAACTGAGACTACTGAGAGTAACAAGGCACTATTAAGAAACATGCCTGGATAATACTCATAAAATGGAACTGTCCCCTGAAGTCAGACATGGGCTTATACCATCTACAGGTCAAATTATGAAACTTTGATTTGACCTTTATGAGGAAAAAAAAAAAAGGGCAAGTAGCCAACTTTACTGAAGTTTAGTTTTCCTCACAACAGAATGCTGAAAGGGAATATAAAGATTAGACAGTCATCCATTAGTTCTGTTGACTGAGAGTTCTACTTAAGAATTCCAACAAACAAGCACCTCACTTATAAAGTTAAATCCTAGAGCTAAATTATATCAACAGACCTGAGGCTGGCTAAGCAAAGCTTTAGCACAAGAACTGGGCCCTAAAATGCTGATCAACAGAGACAACTACCATAGACTGGGTAAATAGAATAAGATAGACAAGTAAATAATATAATCCAAAAGTTAATTAACAATGAACATAATTACTAACGAATTACTAAACATTCTGTCTCTAAAAAGGTCAAAGCAAAACCCAAGAAAATAAAAGACTAGTAAGTATGTGTGGTATTGGAACATTAAAAATTTGACATTACATTCTCCATGAGGACAAAATCAAGTGAACAGCCCTTCGCTAGCCCGGTGCCAGAAGACAGCCTCCAACACTGTCACAGGATCACATTTGTTCCCAGGACCAGAGCCCAGAATCAGATTCTTTATACCCAAATATTAGATATAGAGGTTAACAAAGCAACACTCTAAACAAAAGGGATTCCTGTAACCTAATTAAAATAAAAGCATTTTGAAAAAAGGCCAAAGATAAAGTATAAATCCTTTAATACTATCTATATTTATAAAAATAATAGATTATGTTTTAAACGTAGCTCTTATTCTTTTATAATACAATATACTTCTTGGAAAGTTACAAAAATTTAAAAGAAAACAATCTAGAAACACATCTCAATTAAAAAAAAAACTGCTATAATATTCTACTACTTACCTTTTGGTTTTTTCCTATGCAAATGTGAATATATATCTTAATTTTTTCTTAGTACTAAAATTTCTTTGGTGTATTAGGGTTTGAAGTGCTCTAATACTTAAGCCATGCTCCCAGTCCCTAAAATTTTGTATTCTTAAAAAATTGCTTTAATGGAGTGCTTAGAACAAATACAATACAAGATCATATAAGTACATATCAGGACATCCATTTTTAATAGCAT